TCTAGTCATGATTGTCACAGTGTCATTAATGAACATGTTATTCTATAACTCTCTATGTTTTTCTATACTTCAAGAACAGGCACCCCACTACTCCTATATAAAATGACAGTGATACTCTTCCAGATCTTTGGAAAATGCCTTTGCTTAGATTTCTTTAAATGCACATGTATTCTTTTTTGTAACAGCTTAAGATAAGATTTCATTTTTGTTTGCATTAGTGACAGAATCATGTCTTTCTTGAATGTATTTTATTTTATGCCTACGGTCCTCCAGTTTCTCAGCTTTTTATGCTGTGAAATAATAGGATGGAAAAAACTACTAGAAAAAAAAGAGTTTTACGCTGTTGTCTTGCTTTGCTTTTTATGTATTATTTCTTGACCCTGTATTTTAATTGCTAAGTTCATACATCTGACAGAAGACTCTGAATGTAGAAACTTACTGAAAATTTCTACATTTAGGTCTACTTCCTGAAAATATCAAAGCAGAGCTAGACTATGATCTCAGGGATGGCAACATCTCTGACATTCCTCACACAGAGAAAGGGGAAAATCACATCTGTTTTTTGATCAAGTTTACTACAGACAGTAGAAAGTTGCTCTAGTGATGGAAGTTTTGCCTCAGTCTTCAGAGCAGCCAAGATTTCATACAATATACTTTCCAAAACAGCTGGCAGAATTCTCTGTGCTATAGTAATTGGGTGATAGATAGCACTGAGCTACTGCTTTGATAATAGTTAGAGAGGGAGCCTGTGAGGATTTTCAGTACTAGGTAAGGGAATGAACTTGGCTTTAACTCCTGTAAATTTTTGCTGTGTCTTTTAGCTCTACACATTTTGGCTACCAATCCAATGGGGAAAATTTACCATTCTAAAAATAATGTATTTTGGCAATCTCCAGCTCACTGGTGATAGCTGCAACTTTTCTGTGCAGTGAAATCTATTCTGTGAAGAAAAACTTTCTGGTTTATACAGCCAGAACTGGACAAGGTGCCTGTCTCCCCACTGACGTCTGCAGGCACTCACCTGTTGTCTTCTGTGAGTGCACAAACACGTTTTTGAAAACGGTATGGTGACAGCAGGAATAATTTCATGTTTTTCTTGTCAGTCACCTGCCAGCTCAGTGCACTGAGTCAGCTCGCTGAGGAGCCAGAGGCAGCACAAGTCAGGCTGGCACGGGGGCACAAATGCCACAGTGCATCTGGGACACGGCAGGGGCGAGAGGCAAAGGAGACAGAGGATGCTCTGCTCAAACCCAGCAAGTGCGTGGGCTGGGTCAGCCCATCTGCTCCCAGCACACCTAAGGACAGGACAGCCTTACAGAAAGAGTGAAAAATAGTTCCTCAAGGCTCCAGCTGCATCTGGTGAGCTTTCTTCTAATGGACAGCACTTGTAAAATCAGGTAACACAGCCTAGAACTTTATAGCTGTGTATATTCATGGCTGATGAGGTCACTTCAAGGGATGAAAGATGAACATCTCCACTGACAGAGTTTCTGATACAGTAATTCACAAAAGTGCCAGGCAGGTGGCACTGCCCTGTGATTGATATTTTTTCCTTTCTCTTTGCAATATGTATCAGGATAGTCCAAATGAATCAAACTTATTTCACCCTACCATGCAAGGTCTCATTTGTTTTATGGTTTGTGGCACTGCTGATAGCCTCAGATTCCAGCTACCAGAGTTTTCAGGGACCCTCAGGAGCTGTAATACGAATTAATTGCTTTGTGTTTCTTGTCACTGATGCAGATTCTCCAGCCTCAGATTCTTGCAACAGTGAAATAAAAATGTGATTGTACTTCTCTCCAGTCAAAATATGTTAGAGTAGTAGGCAAATAGGATCTTGGGAGTACAGGAGCTGCTAGCAAGGCATAGCTTCAAGTATTTATTGTTGTTTCTGCATTTTCACACTTTGCAAAGCTCCTTGCATGTTGCTGACCAGAAGGATGAAGAACTCTGTTTCTATGTTCAGTGTGCAAGAGAAAGTTCTTGCCAAGTTTAATTCTCAGTCGCAATCTGCCTTTTCTATTATTTCAGTTCATGAACATGTTTCTTATTCCTGTGTAAGAATGAAGGATAATTGTGTGTTATAAAATACAAGAAAATACATTTTCTTGTATTTTATTAGTTTCTGGACAAGGATCCTTAAAGACTTATTTCTTGATTCAGTTGTTGCTGTCAATTTCTTGGATGATTGATGCCCCTGATTCCTATAATCAGTTCCAAAGGAAATCTCCCAAGATTTCCATGAAACTGTCTGCTTCCCAATAATCACAGTTAGGAGATCACTAGATCAGTGCTTCTCAATCTGCACTCACCACTCAAGTATATTTAGGTGAAGAAATAAGTGCTGTCTTTATACCTTGGATGATCTCCATACCCAGACATCTATTGCATAAGATTCTTTCCTTTCCAATTTCTAATGGAAAGACACAAAAAGGTAAAAAAAATTAAGGTTATCCTGAGTAGAAATCACTAAGATCTGAAACACTGAACACAGTTACTGTAATTTTCAAGAAGTATTATGGAGACAATGGAGGTTTGGATCAGAGTGCTTTTGGCAGCAAACAAGCCAAGTAAAAATGATTTTCAGCTTGGTTTACTCAGGTGGAAGGAGGGGAGAGAAGAGAATTAGCCTGGATTTACAGAATGCTGGGTTTCTGTTCTGAAATTATTTTTGGATTAGTATCTGGGTAGATTCTGTTCCAACAGAGAGACTCTACTCTAAAAGAAAAGGATTATGGCGTCTTAGAAGTAAAATTAGCAAGTTTTGCTTAGGTAACAGTTGAAGAAAGTAGAAGACATGGGAAAATTAAATTTTTTCCTATTTTCAGTAATCTGAGGCATCCCTGAGACACAGGAGAGTCAGAAGTAGAGTTGTTCTAAAAATTAGGTAGTTTTTGCTTAACAGTGTATCAATTTTAAAAAGCCTGAAAAGCAAGAAAAATACAAAAATTGAAGTTTGCAATGGCCATTGCAACCTTGTACATGGCATTGTGAGAAACAGATTTTCCTGATGTTCTTTTGTAAGATGTCAGTTTTGAGCAATGCAGCAGGTATTCAGTAGATATCTCAGAAAATAGAAGATGTGTCATCATATGTCAGAGCCCCAATTTACAATGCAAATTAGAGAAGATAATTTGACATTGATGAGTGTACGAATAAATCCTATGAATTCTGCAGATTCTTTGATCTTGAGGTCTGAAGAAAGAATACAAGGTGAAATTTATAGGATAGAAGGCAGAAGGATTAAAACCTTTCTTTACCAGTTGGTCATGGTAACACTGGAGTATCACAGAAATGACAGAATGCTTGGAACCCTTTTAACTACCCAGGTTATCTCTTGGTCCAAAAATACAAAAAGGTCTAACCTGGAAGGGTTCTACATCAGCAAGCAGAGAACTTACCAATTCAGGGAAGAATAAGCAACCTTGGACCTATCACAACCTGAGTGTGAACAAATAACTAAGAATAGAAGCAAAGTGAACAGACAAAGAGTTGCTAATTTTTACCTACAGAAGCACAGGCTCACAGAAGGGCAGGGTAAAGGGTTAAGCAGTCATCCTTAGCACTCCACATTCTCTGGGGTACCATTGCCAATACCCCAGCAAGGCTTGCTCTGGTGAGCAACAGCAAAAGCTGTGAGGCACAGTAATCTTTTCAAAACAGTAAATGTTTCAGTAAAAGGAAAGCAAGACAAGCAGAAAAGGCAGGGATGCAATCTGTGCCCATGGAGCCAGATAGGCATGGCTTATCTCAGATACCAAAGCTTCTGGAGGATCTCAAAAAAGCAGTGTCTGCCTCTCACACCTCACTCCCTGAGTGGTCTCTTTTAACCCAATTTTCTACTCTTCCTTTTTCTGTCCTTCACTTTCTCCACTCTTGGTCAAAACTAAAAGGCAGCATTGCTAACAGCAAACTTTTCCAACCTACATGACATCACTGTCTTGAAATGCCACTACATGGACAATCTGAAGCTAATGAGGGTTTTCCAGTGTGCATTTTCAAGCAGGTAATCTTGAATTAGCCCATTGCAGTTTTCTCACCATGGTATAAGGATGTCTAGTTGCTTCCCATAAAGGCTGGCAAATTAGTAAATGAGGTCTCAGGGAAGAAAGCAGTGCTTCAGCAGGCAAAAACAGGTCCCTCAGGAATCCTAAAAACCAGGCAGAACTTCTTTAAAGGAAAACAATGAACTAGAAGGAACACAGAGAATAAGAAATAGCCAATCTATTTCCTTAAGGGACAGCACAAAGGAAGAATAAAGAGATATGAAGGAGAAATGTACACTCACAGAATAAAATGCCGAATTTAAAGTGCCTTGTGGTAAAACTAATGCTTTTTCGTGATTTGTTCCGTCACTACTAAAGATACACTTAGGGGCGTTTTGGTGGGGTCTTTTTTGAACTCTCAAGCCTCAGAACCAGAACAGTATTGTACTTTCCCTTTCTTCACTGAGTCTTTCCTGAAAGCGTTGGAGCTCTGATGGGAATGACTGAGAATTTAAACTTCTGAAGACAAGCCCCAAATTCTGTCTTCGCGGACAGCCAGACTAAGTTTCAAGGAGACCAGAGGCGTGCTTAACACTCCCCCTCACCCCAGACCTCCCTTCTCCTGCGCTCCTGCAGGATTCCTCCCCTCGCCCGCGGCAGGGGCTGAGCTGCTGGAGCTGCTGGAGGCGCTGGGGCAGCTGGAGGTGCTGGAGTGGCTAAAGCTGCTGGAGATGCTGGAGGGGCTAAAGCTGCTGGAGGTGCTGAGGGGCTAAAGCTGCGGGAGGTGCTGGAGGTGGTAAAGCTGCGGGAGGTGCTGGAGCAGCTGGAGCAGCAGGAGGTGCTCGGCTCCCGTTCGGCGGCATTGCCCGGGGTCCGCCCGGCCCGGTGCGCAGCTCCCCGCCCGCGGGTGGAGGCGGGCAGCCCTCCCCGCCCTCCGTCCCTCCCTCGCCGCTCCCGCCCCGTCCCCCCGAGCCGGGCGGGCGCTGCCGCCTTGCCGGGCCCGCCGAGCGCCGCGGGGAGCGCAGCGGCCCCGGCCCGGCCATGAGGCTGCGCGCCGCCGGCATCCTCGGCTGCTGCTGCTGCCTGCTGCCCCTCGTGCTGCCCGCAGCCCCAGGTAAGGACACCCGCGCCCTCTGCTCCTCCGCCGCGGGAGGGGAGGCGACTTGGGAAAGTTTGGGGAGTTTGCCGGGGCCGCGGGGCAGCGGCGGTGATGGAGCCCTCCCGGAGCCCTCCCGGAGCCCTCCCGGAGCCCTCCCGGAGCCCCCGGGCGGCGAAGGCATCGCCAGCCCTCGCTCCAGCCGGGAATGCCCGTGTGGTCGGGAAGCTTTCCCCTGGCAGCGGACGGAGCGCGTTTCTTTGGCGCTGGCGCAGAATATCAGTGCCTAGCGGGGATCTTCAGAGGGATGCTCGGTGCGAATGCTTAACCAAGAAAACAAGGAAACAAAACAAAAACTGCGACTGATGTCTCTTCTCCTTAACATCCGTTATTTATGCATGATTTAATGGAAATGGTTGTTTTCATCCCATGTAGGGTTGAAATGAGTTCAGCACTTTTATTGTAAGTAGTTTTAAATGGATTTCTTTTTCTGGCTGAAAGTACTTCTGTGTTTCAAGTAGTTGTGAAACAATGCATTTGGAGTGGCATGTCGTGAAACAACATCCGTGAATCTGCTCTGGCATTCTCCCTTTAAAATGGTGTGTAGGTTTATTACATACACTTTTGGTGTGCTAAAGTAACTTTGTATTCTTTTGCCATTAATTCTCTATGTCATTTCACTTATCCTTTAGGAACATTCTATAACATGTTCCAGATTAGGTTAATTTAAAATTTTACAATGCAAAAATATGTCTGAAGAAAAAAGAAAAGGAACATTTTACAGTCTGGGATTTTTCAAAACATTGTAATGTGCATATGATGTGATACGTGCGTATAGGGGGGTTTTGTGCTGATTTTTCTGGTTTGATGTTACAAATCTCTTCTTCCAGGCGTGATCTGTAAAGCTGGCTGCCATCCAGAGAATGGATTCTGTGAATTTCCCAGTGAATGCAGGTAAAAAGATCTGTCAGACTGGGGTATTAGCACAGGAGTGGTCAGCTTCAATAATTCGTAGTCCTGGTGAGAGAGATAGAAACTGAAATGGTTTGGTCTCTGAAAATATGGAACTGTAATGAAACAGCACTCTATTAGGATACAGTAACTGGAAAGCATGGATATTTAGATACCTGTTCAGTTTACTTCTTCCAGGATGAAGTATTTATATTGATTAGTTGGGGTTTTTTCCTTGCTGAATGAAATTATTTTCTTCACATAAACGGCTTCTAGTATCCCAGAAGCACCGATGGTATGCTTTTGTTTAAACAGTAAAATTTCTAATTCAAAAGTTTATTTGTTGCGCATTTGTGAACCAAAAAGGGGGGCATCCTTGTAATTATGTTTATTAAAAATAAACTCTGTTTCTGTCTTGTCTTTTATCTCTTTCAGGTGTCAGCCTGGCTGGCAGGGTGCACTCTGTAACCAGTGTGTTCCTTTCCCCGGGTGCTTGCACGGCAGCTGTGCCAAGCCCTGGCAGTGCATCTGCGAGGAGGGCTGGGTTGGCAGCCTCTGTGACATAGGTTTGCACATCCTTTTCTCTCCTTGAATAAGCGAGGGGAAGCAGCCCCACCTGGTGTTGGAGACACGCAAAGTCCTTCTGGATAACTAATTTTAAAATATTGAATGTTAGCTCCAGATAATGAGGAGATTCTGGGCAGCAGCACATAAACCTCGAACTTCCATAATAATTTAGGCAGAAGCAATGCAGTATCTTTTGTAATTGGGCATATATGTGAGCCAAGTGTAAATTCATTATATTTTAAACTGTAAATTATCAGGGACGAGGCCAACAAACAACTGCTCCCTTCTTGTCATGTAAGCTCTTCTAATCAAAATACAAGTTATTTTGTATATATTAAATAATTTTAAATATTTATGTAGCACTATATATATATATATACGTATATATATGTATATGTATATGTATATGCTATTTTCTTAGTACTTCTTGAAAGGAAAACATTGTGCTTATTTTTTCCTTTACTTAACCTGGTGGTGATTCAATGCGGTAACTTTACTGTAACTGAGAAAAAGCTCTTCCTGAACAGAATGTCATTTCCCCCTCAGGTCTGAGGGAAAAGCACAGCTCTGTGTGCATTCCCTCACCCTTTGACAGTCAGAATCAGCCAGCTTAGCATGAGCAAGCTGAAGAATTGGCCTTTGTTGAGGTGGTTTATTTTGGCTGACAAAGGCAAACGTTCAGTCAGAGAGATCTGATGGGATGGAAACCTCATGAGCATCCAGGAGGATGCACTGCTCAGCCCACACAGCTGCAGCTGGGACAAGTGTCCAGGGCCTCGTTTCCTCTTCATGCCTTTCAGGGTTTTGTTGGTATATGGCTCATAATTTTTAGAGCATGCGTGAGATCTCCAATACATAGCCAGAGTGGTGACTGATGACAGATTGAACAGCATAAGATTTTCAAGATGACTAAAAGAATCAGAAGGTTTTAGGTAGGTCGCATCCTTGCAGTGACATGGGATTTGGTGCAAGGTTCTCAGGTGTTCATTTACTCATTTACTCAGCACGTTTTGCAGCTGCACTCACTGACTGCACCCATGAGCAGAGAGAGGCTTCCTAAGGTCGCTCCTGGTGTGTTTGCAGGAGCTGTGGTAGCAGTGCTGACATCTGTCGTGCAGATGTGACTCTAAACTCTCAGATATTGCTCTGGACACATCTCACAAATGTGTTTGTACCTGAGACAGACACCATCATTGCAGTTAATGAGGAGGAATGAGTCCTTCTCTGATCTACAATCAGAGATTTCTAAAGCTGCACAGAACAGTCCCCGCTCTGCCACCTTGGGAAGCTCAGTTCTGTTGCTTATCAGCGAAAACAAAGTTCCACATTTTCAAAGGTAGCACCACCTGGTTTGATAATGCCACTGACTGTGTGGCTGTTTTTAATACAGGCAGCCTGGTTCTCAGTTCAGGCCAAGAATGACCTTCCTAGTAATTTAGAGACATGCAGGTTATGGGTTGAGCTTGATCCACTGTAAACACATAGGACAGAATATGTGGTAGCATTTGTGACTATTATTTGTGACTATATGGACAGACAAGGCACTTGAACAAAGACATCTATGAGTTGGTCTTGGTGTTAATACTGCTGGTTAACCAATTTGGAATGGAGTCTGTCCAACTGGCTCCATGATGCCATGGCATCTTCTCATCCTGTGGAAACACAGCCTTGAAATCCGGTGTGTGCACCCCTAGAACCAGGCTGCACAGCACAGATACACACTGCACAGCTGATATACACTGCACAGTACAGGAACCACATCAAACACTGACCATAACAAAGGGAAAATCAATTGAGTCAATTTGTTTCCAGGGGAAAAATGAGAGCCCAGTCAGAGTGTTTGATCCAGCTTGCTAAATCAGATCTGTCAGCCTGTCACCCCAGGCTGTGCCAACACACTCGTGTTAGCAGGTGCATGACCTCCTGCTGGAATCCTGGCCTCAATTGGCCTGAAAAAGCCAACATACAGTGTGAGCTGGGAGTAAATTGTCCTACTTGTCACCAGAGTGCTTTGCCAAGGCCACGTGTTGGCAAACTCATCAGAGAGTACAGGTGGAGTCTCTAATGCCTGTGCTATGAATGCATGAGACAGGGCTTAAAAATTGTCCTGTGACAAACTGCAACTGAGCATATCTTCCTCATAAAAACACTCAGTGATTGCTTCATGCACTGCAGCATGACAACTTTGTTTGATAGAAGTATTAATTACGGGTAATATGATTGAGGCCACTCATAGTATATGTATAAATGTGACATCATGTTTTTGCATTTTCATCTGTTACCACTTGGTGGTTGTCCTTTTGAGACATAAAATACAATAGAGAAAATGGGCTAATTGAGGCTAACTATGTATTATATTTTAAAAGAACCTGGTACAACACCCTTTTAAGATGTATTTTAAAATTAAATACCTGACATAAATTATTGACAGTAATGTGTATATTTTTATATATATATATGTATATAGATACCTATTCATATATGTATTTCAGAGAGTTTCCATGCTCCTGCATCAAAGTTCATGTTTTCTCCTCCATCAGAGTACACACTTTATTAGCTGCCTTTAGAGTCTGTGAAAATAGCTGGCAAACAATACTGCTTCAAAAAGCATTCAAGATTATTTTGGTCCCTGTAAAATTGGAGTTTATACTAAAAGTGCATGCTAAGTTGTCTTGCAATGAGAATAGGCTAATGCATTAAGAAATAGAACCTTTTGTCCAGGAAAGATTGTATTTGAAAGTAAGGCTGGTGTTTTCTGTGGTTAAAATTTTGCAGTACCTCATGATATCATCTAAATTTCATGTTATGCTGTGGGAAGTAAAATATAAATGCTCTAATCTTCTTAGAAAGTGTGTATATGTGTGTGAGAGGCATCAGATACCTTCCAGTCAGCACTTCTCTGCAGCTGCTGCAGTAGCTTGCTAAAATATGCACATGTTTGTTTATTTAGTTTTAATTATTTTAAAAATTCAGTAATCATTTGAGTGGGAAGTGGCTCAGCAGGGCAATTGCAAAGAAAATGAGATGTGTGACTTTGGGTCAAGACGTCATACAGTTCTGTGTTCTGGTACAGTTATATAAGGGTTGAATGTAGTCCAGCCAAAAGATGATATTTTAACAGATTTTTTTGTAAATTGATGATCTCTGTTTTTATGAAACATTTGTTCATAAACACATAATGATATGGGCAGGGAGCAGGGAGAATTCCAAATTCCTGATTGCTTTATCAGAATTCTGCTCATGGAGAAGCCAAAATTCTGAAAGTATGACTAAGACTATCTAGAAGTTCTTTGTTCCACACTGATATTTTATTTCTAATACTACTTATTTATAGAATGGAGCAATTCAAACACATTTTGCAAGCAGGAGCTAGAAAGAGCTAGAAATAAGCTGAAATTGCTTGCAATAGTCGAACAATCTGAATTCCATTTTAACAAAGGGGGGAATAGATCAGAATGTATAAAATGCAGGGTGAAGTATTGCTAAAGCTATATTTTATTTGAAGTATTGTATATCATTCACTAACTCTTTCTCGTAAGATTAATCAAGGCCTGTTGGGTACTTTTTAACAGATATTCACCCATGTTCAGCAAAGCCCTGCACCAATAATTCAACGTGTATAGAGACTGGTGATGGAGGATATATTTGTCTGTGTGCCCAGGAATTTACAGGAAAAAACTGCCATCTCAAGAAAGGACCCTGCATTATTAATGGGTAAATATTGATTTCTGACATGCATTTAAAATCTACACTTCTATTATTCAGAATTCTTTGCTAAGTGGAATTATATCTGTGTCAAAATATACAATGCTTCTGATAGTTGCTGATATTATCAAACTTTACACATCTGATCTATTAATATTTTAAAGATTTAAGAGATTATCAGTGTGGCTTTCTGTGCACAATCTGAGTACTAAAAGTGCTAATTTGCACATTTTACTGTGGTGAATTTGTGCCTTCTCATGATTTTCATAAGCAAACTTGAAGTGACTCCCATCCTGTGCTCTCACCTCTAGTGAGGGATTTTTATACACAGCCCAATAAGAGCAGTAGTTAGCACAGAAGCTGTCTGCATGAAAACACCTAGCCCACCAGTCTGTCCTTTTTTCTTAGCCAACATATGATAATGTGCTCATAGTTAACTGAAGGAGACAATCTCACTTCCATCAGAGCAGGGAGACCATTACTCTCTGTTCTTTAAAAGAAATGGGACGTTAAGAACAGTAGGTTGTAGCAATGCCAGTAGGTTGAGGGAGGTGATCCCTCCCCTCTGCTCAGTCTTGCTAAGGCACATCTGGAGTGCTCAGTCCAGTTCTGGGCTACCCAATTGTCTGGGTTTGGAAAGCCAGGCATCTGCTAAGGAAGGCAGGAGCCTCCCCTGAAATGGAAAAATGTAAACCCCCTCCCTCAAAATTGTTATAAATTTGGAATTAAGAGGTATTCTCAGGCAAATGTATGGGAGCAGGAATAACAGTTCTTTATTAGGGAAGAAAATAAAAAGATAAACAATGCAATAAACTAAAACAACACTGACAGAGTCAGAACACAACCTGACACCCTCTTTGTCAGGGTGCTGGTAGCAGTCCAATTGGAATTGTGGCTGCAGCCCTCCTGGAGTGTCAGGGGTGGTTCTGTTGGAGCAGGGATCCTGTAGGAAGGTGTAATCTTCTTCTGAAGATCCAGTGGAAGAGGCAGCTGTTCATCTGAGCAATCCAGTGGAGAAAGCCATGCTGGTTTTCCAGAACTCAAGATTATATCTGGGTAGAATGCTTGGCTCCTCCTTCTGGATGGAGCATCTCACAATGGGATGCTATAGATCTTATCAGTCAGGCAGTGACATTCAATAGCCTATTATCAGCAGATGTCTCCCCAGAGAGAGGATTGGTTGTGGAAGAGATAAGGAAAACTGCCCACTTAACAGAACACTGCCATAGAAAAATAGAATACAATTTGCTTGGCAGTCTAGGGCACCAATATAAAAAGGACACAGCCATACTGGATTGAGTCCAATGAATGGCCACAGATATGATTAAAGAAAGGGAACATCTCTCCTATAAAGAGATACTGAGAGCTGGGTCATTCAGCCTGGAGAAGGGCAGGCTCTGAGGAACTTGTCCATTGTGTGTGAGTACCTGATGGGGGGAAGCAAAGATGACAGAGCCAGACTTCTCATTGAGGTGCCCAATGAAAGCTCAAGAGGCAATGGGTACAGGCTAAAGAACTTCCAGAAAAGTCACTAGTAGAACTGCATGGAAAAAAGGAAGACCTTTCAGTGCTAGAGAAAATGTGAATTTGGGTTTCTGTTCAAATCTAGAAGCATCTGCTGTCTTCTAGCTCATCAAAGTTCTGATCCCATAAACATGCAGAATGCCTTTATGGTGGATACAAACTTGGTAAAACTATCACCCTAAAATCACAGTTTTCTTTTAGGAGATTGCCTTCTTGATCTCTAGCTCTATATGGACACCCACTGGTTCTCTTTTTGCTCAGTGATAGATAATTATGAGTATTCAGATCTACCTTATGAATCTTCCTGAAGACTTGTAAACTCTTGTTTAAGGAACATTAACATCTCTCACTCTCTCTGGCAAGAATTGCCATTCTTTCACAACTTCAGTAGAATTTTTTTTGTCATCACCTTTATTTGGGGGATACTCTCACAGTTTTTTCTGGGTTTACTTTCAGCCTCTAAGATAGCTACTCTGATTTGCCTATTTTTCTTCATTGACAGCAGGGAAATTTAAGTTCCTTGAAAGAGCCATGACCCAAATCCAAGCTACTTGCCTAGTATTGGAGATGTGAATAGGTTTTTCTGATTTTCACCTGTAGACCAAATATTTCCGTAATTCAGTGTGGACATATATGCTAGTTATCCCAAAAAACAGGTGAGTTCCAAAAATACAGCATCAACAAAATAATAAAGATTAGTTCCATGTAATTCCTTAAACATCTTATGGTTTTAAATTGCTGAAACTCCTTTTTTTGTGTTGGCACTCTGATTTTGGACTGAATGCTGATGAACTAGCCTGGAAATTGTGAACAATTTTTCTGAAGAAAGAAACATAAGTTGCTTTCTTTCTTGAAGCAGTGATTCTTTTTCTCTAGGAAGCTGTCTTTTTCAGGAAAATGAGCAGCAGGCTCTGCAAATCTGCATTAAGTTCAAAAAGACAACTGTAGTCAGCATAAGCACTCCGTGTCTGCTAATAATTCACAGTCCACCAGAGAGTGCATCCCACATTGTAGAAAGAGACCTCATCAGATGGTGCCATTTCATTCACATCTCATTTCCTCTCAACCTCAGTGGTAATGTTAAAAATGTTGATATTACTGAGCATTACTGCTGGCTTCTTAATATTCGCAGATATTAAGAAGCAGAGCAATTCACAAATCAAAGTGTTTTTTCTAGTCTGCTTACATGTATCTACCCTGCAGTAGTGACCTCTCTGTGATGTTTGGAGGTTTCTGCCTTGAAGCAGAGCAGTGAGTGGCACTTTCTAAAAGAAACCAGGCTATCTGGGAAGAAAAGAAGAATGGTATGGAATGCTTCCTACGACTAACCCGTAATGTACAACACCTTGCTGTATGCCAAAAATGCAAAGTAGAAGAATTTATTCAAGGAAATTAATATTAAGGCTTTATTTATTTTAAACATATTTAAAATAAACAAATGCAACTCTGTTAGTAAAAAATGAAGAAAATTTTCATAATTCTGCATTTTTCCCCTTAACTGTTTTTTATTTCAATATTTTACATTTCTGAAAATTTCAGAAAACAGAAAAAATTCAGAACTTATGTTCTCCAACAGTTTCTTCCCATTTCCCTAGAAAGTACTGAGATTCAACCCGGCCATGAAGGTTCAAACTTCTACACATTTACGTTGGACAAACCAGCTTGTCCAATTTTCCATGGGACCTGTAAAGCTAAAGGAGGGTGCTAGGTTCTCCAAGACATCCATAACCACTGAAGGACTGTATAAAACTCCAATTTCCATATTTTGCTTAAAAAGACATAGTGCCTGGTTAATATGTTGAAGTTCCTTACCTCAAGTTATCACTAACCATGTCTATGTCAAAGCCCAGTTTTGCTTTCCTGATACTGCTCCCAGACTTCCAATATGTTCTTTTAGTGCATTTTTACCAAGAACAGTACTAGAGGACAGGGCAGTTACTGTGGAAGCTGCAGTAAACAGACAGATGATTCCCCTGCCAGAATATTCAGTCTCTCCTGATGGGTGGCTGCTGAGTGTTTCAGTCCCCAGTGAAGCCAGAGGGGCTTGGAGCAATCTCTACCAAAGGTAGTCCCAGAGCAGTGGTGACAAGCCCAGCCTTGTTGTGATCAGGGACCATTGGTAGGCAGGAGACTGCAGCTGCTTCACAGTCATCTCAGCCAGACATCAACAGATCTTGTAAATCTCTGTGTGCCACCATGGAATTCCACAGCAGCCTGTTGCTACTGACTGCTGCACATGTGGAATGTCTGCATCTGAAGCTGTGGTCTTCATTACCCCTGGGACTTTTCCCTGGAAGTGGGGGGCCTTAAATAACAGCTTGGACTTTTCAACTCTCAGGCAGTACTGTGCTGTATGTCTTCAGGGATACATAAGTATTAAGAAAAGTTTTTTTGTCAAAGAGGCTTGTCCTAAACTTTGCCAAGTATTTTTCATATTTTACAAAGTGAGTTTTAAAAGCTTTGCTGATGTGTGATGAACTGCCGTGAAAGTTTGAGGATCGGAGGTTTATTTGTAAAGCTGGGACTCAGGGACCCTTGTCAGCCAGCAGGGACAGCTAAAGGAGCAAGAGCACTTTGCTCAGATCCCCTGAACTGACACATTTGTGCCTGTCAGTGGTGGCCTCATCTTTTGGCATGACACTCTGTAAGGCACAGTTGCATTGTAAAGATAGAAAAGATCTCTCAGTTAATTTATGTCACCTAAAACATATTATCAGGCTACTAATTGGGAAGTACTGAAAGAGTTTGTAGAAATACTTGGTTTCCCATGGTCCTGCTCTCACATTACAGCTGTCTTTGCCCAGGCTGAAATTCTCTCATTGATATTTTTTTGTTATAATTGTATCGATCAAAAATTTCCTCTGAACAGCTGTTTATAGGAAAGTATCTGTTTGCTTCTAAATTGTTTGTGTCATGGAACAGACAGGCAGAATAAAAACAATCAGCTTTATGCCTAGCTGCTATGGCACTGCTTTGTTCTGCCAATACAATATATAGATTATTTTAGGAATAATCAGCTAGAAAGGAAGCAGCCATGACTGCTCGTGTCTTTGTTCTGTCTTATGTGAGTAGTTGCTTAGCTAAATAGCTCCAAGCATATAAAAATGTATAAAAATAGTGAGAAGCTTAATTTGAATAAATGTTTGAAATAATTTAAAATCCCTTCACAGCTCATTGGGTTGAATCTGTATACTAGTGTACTAATCCTGCCCAAAGGGTCAGCAGAAGATATTATAATCTGTATTGACAATGCTGTTGAACAAACTCATTCTTTATTCAGCTTCACTGACTTCAGTGGATTTGCATTTGGAATTGGCTCTTCTAAAGAAAAATAGCTCTTTTTATTGTATAAATTGTTTCCTAATAGTTTCTTCCTTTGGACTTCAATTTTGTCTCTGTGTTTGTCACGTATCCTAGTTCTCCCTGCCAGAATGGAGGAACATGCATTGATGACAATGGTTTTGCACCCCATGCTTCCTGTCTGTGCCCTTCTGGTTTCGCTGGCAACTTCTGTGAGATAGACAGAGATGACTGCGAATCCAGCCCGTGTGAGAATGGAGGAACCTGCACAGATGTTGGAGTGGGTTTCAGCTGTTCTTGTCCCCCTGGCTATACAGGGAAGCTCTGCAGCAGCCGTGTCACTTTCTGTGCGAGTGGCCCGTGTGAGAACGGGGGCACTTGCAGTGAGCATCCCCAGGGAGGGTTCGAGTGCATCTGCAAACCAGAATTTGTTGGCGTGACCTGCAAACATCCCAGCAAAAACACAAGCCTCTCTGGAATGAATGTGGAAATGAAGCATATGCAGAATTACAAGCCACCCTCAAAAGCTCACCACAGATCAGTGCACCAACAACAAGAAATCCTGAAAATAACAGTGAAAGAAACAATTCAAAATGCAGATCCCTTAATGAGCAGAAGCCAGGTGATATGTTTTGTTGTGCTGGGCTTGCTTACGTGTCTTGTTGTCTTGGGTACAACTGGGATTGTTTTCTTTTCAAAATGTGAAATGTGGCTTGCTAATGCCAAGTATAGTCATCTCCTGCGCAAGAAAAAGAACTTTTTTCTGAAGTCTAACAATGGGGAAAACCTCTCAGTTAATATTATCTTCCCAGAGAAGATCAAATTGACTAATTACACTAAGAACTACACTGCCATCTAGGCCCTTGAAAGCCCAGCAGCATCTTGCAACTTTTCATAGCAATATGTAAAATTTATTGCCTGTGTTTGGCCTCAGTATTTGTGTGTATATTTGCTGTAAATTGTTCTGAGTGACAATGAAGAAATGTAATGGATCTGTCTTGCTAAGGATTTTTTCATTCCCCAAAATAAAAGGTAAAAAAAAAAAAAAAGGATTAAAAAGTAAGGAATGTTATTTTAATTTCTCTTCAAGGCAGCTACTTTTTGTAAAATAAAAAATAACTTATCACTGCAACTGTATTGCAGCTTTCTTGTGCATAGTTCGTTTGGCAAGTGAAGTACTTGCAAATTACTCAGTAATGCTTTTTTTTCTTTTTAATAAACAGCAGTTAAGGGCTATACTGGTTTATTTATTCATTTCTAAACTTTACTCTAGAGCAAGGTCTGCAAAAAGTGTCCATGCTGAACTCGTTTGCTATCTGATAAAATCTTTAGAAATTGCAACCAGCAGGAGCAAATTCACACTGATATCTCACCGATTTAGTCAGTGTTGCTATTTTTACATGCTTATAAGAGAGATTCTGTAGAATCTTAGAGGTCTTTGGGATATTAACTTCAGGTTAAAGGTCTCTCACTTGAAAACCTGCATCTATAAATTGTTCTATTTATCTATTTTAAAATGTTAAAAAGGTGTTCGATGTCTTTCTTTTTAGAGACCTAGTAGAGATTAAAGGATCAGATTCTGATTTTTCTATAAATATTCCTTAAAGACCTCTGCTGAGTGAAGTATCCTTCATGACTGTGTCATGTGGAGAAAGGAAAAGATGTCACGTGTCACCTGAAATAGGACAGCTGCTTTTAATTCTTCACTCCTGCTTTTTCTGTCACATTTCAAGGAGAGGGCAAGGTTTTCAAGAATTAAAAGCAGCAGTGGCAAACAGGCAAGGGGTCATGAAAGCCGTAAAATTGTCAGGGGCCTGGGGGCAGTGAGAACTCTTAACCTCCCTGAGGAGCCTTGCCTGGAGCTCTCACCCACCTCCTGCCCGTGGGACCATTTGGGGTCAGCCCAGCACTGCTGGTTCTGTCTGAGCTGGGCCGAAACTGTGCCTGCACTTGGTGCTTGGACTACCTACAGTAGGCAGCCCAGCTGCTGAAAGGACCCTTTGGACCTGTGCTCCAGCCCTGTCTCTGGCCCTGTCTGCTTTAGCTGCTGCCAGGAGCCCACAGGTGGCCTCTGGAGCTGGTTCATCACCTGCTGGGTCTGGAACTGCCAATGGGCCCCGTTACCAGCTCTAGCCACAGCCACGTGTTCAGCTCCTGTGAGCCTGTGGGGCTGGTGAGGCCATGGGTCTGTCTGTGCCACCATGGGCATGACCCTCCTGGACCTCCCAGCTTTTTTCCTAAATGGCCAGCCTGACACTGACTGCTCCCTGTAAGAAGAACAATCAAAAGGAAAAAAAACCCCACAAAACAAGAAAACCAATCACTGCCAACAGCAGTGCCTAAAGGATGTCTTTAACTGCAGTTTTGCAACAATTTATTTCCCCAGTCACCCTCGATAGGAATGATTAGAAGCTTCTTCTCAGCTCTCATAACTATGCTGTTCCCAAATCCATTAACACCTGCTCAATTCAAAAAAAGCCTTAAAGCTTGGCATATACAAGCTTGACATCCATGGCATTATAGTAGGATTTTTTTTTTTGTTAATATCTCTCTGAATTGCTGCAAGTATATAGCAACTTTGCAGTATTGTTGATAATATTTGCACATATCATAGTATTGTGATGTAGTGCTAAGAGGAAAAATGGTACTCAGGTACTGCTGTGGAAAGTATTGAATTCCAGATAACTGGGTGAAAACTTTAAGGATATGCTCCTTCTCAAAGCTCTTGTTGGAAAGACAAACATTTATCAGACCTAGCAACTTTTCAGTCAGCTGTAGGGAAGTTTGAAGACTGAGAAACCCAGATGAATGTAAAACTAGGTAAGCAGAGTTGAATTTCAAGCCATAAAACATGAGTCTTAGAAGCTGACACACTTCTTTTAAAACAATATGTTTTAAACATATAATTCAGTATTGTGCATTTTAGCTTTATTAGAAATATGTTAGGGTTAATTTGGAGATAACCAGAAACATGCATAACTCCATTGGGTATCTTGCAGCTTTGATTTAAAACCAGTTACAACTTTAGGTATCTGCTGGGATTCAGTGGTTAAATTCTTGAGCTGCCTGTACACCTTCCCCACACCTTCCTTAACCCTTACAGCTTGGTCTGCTCCAGAACAGAACAAGGCTTTAAGCAACAAAGCTTTGTATTTTAAACATATAAAACTTAGGAAGTTGTAACTCATATTTATAAACCATCATAATTTTTATTTGGCCATGGTGACCCAGTGGGCAGTTCCTCCATCGCAGTGAATTTCTTCATATGTAGACAGAAGAGCATTTTTGAGAAAAGATCATTTGCACAGCATGGAAAAAGAGTAGATTTCAACTCTTAGTATCCTTCCTATCGTTGGTGGTCTATTGTCTTGCTACCTTCTCCAAAGAGAAAAAGGTTACCTTAAGCATGAAAGTCTGGAGAAAATAGTATCTTTCTTTAGCTCCTTTGTTCCAGGAAAGAATTAAACATGTATGTTTGTATCTCATATTTGTGCTGTTAGTGTAGTGAATAGCTCCAAAGCTTTATCACCACACAAGTGACAGACAACTAGGATGATAAAAAAGATTATGGATCAATAGCCTGCAAGAGGTCTCCAAAGCAAGAAGTTTAAAATAAGCATTGTGCATAAACACTGATGTAAGAGCAAAGAGAAGATAGAACATTGATACCAGGTTAATTCTATGTTAATTCCACATATTTTTTATCAGTGGACAGAAAACAACATATCTATGATACCCATTGCCATGGTACTAACCTATGTTCCTATGTCTCACATTTTGATTTCTGAATGTTCTCCTTTAATCAAGTAACGATGCCTCTGAAATTTAAACTCACATCCCTGCCTTTTTGCCTGTGTAAACCAAGAAATAAATGAGGACAGCTAGGCTGAGGGATGAGTAAGGACAATGGGACACTTTAAGGGCATTAGCTCCTTCTTGTCCCCAACACATGGGGGAAAATATTATTGTAATTTCTTTTATTTTAACCACCTCCCTTTGAGCCATCTTAACCTCTGTGTTAAAAACAACAACAACAAAACAACAACAACAACAACAAAACAAAACAAAACAAAGGATGTTCCACAAATATCTGTTTTTTTGAGATAGGCCATGGATGCTTTTTGCTTTTCCAGTTTGGTTTGATTGTTTTGAGCTTGTTTGGGTGAGTTTTGGTTTTGGGTTTTTTGAGGAGAGGAATGTTGGTTTGGTTTTCTTCCGGGGAGGGGGAAAAACACCATGGTGGGGGAGAGGTCTGTCTGCTGCAAAAGTAGAACATATGAAGAAACAATCACTGAATTCTCGAGAAGAATACATACATGTTTTTTTCCTTTTACTGCCATTCTTGATGTTGGCCCATAAACCAACAATTGCTTTGGATCAATGAGGATTACATCTGTAAGCGCTAAACCATCTGCTGATGATACTTCCACAGCAGCCCAGCCAGTTGGCTCTTCTATGTTGATAACATGAGGGTTTGTTTCAAAGAAATATTTAGATCCAGGTGGACCACAGTATTCCTATTTAAAACAGACCTTCAGCTTTTGAGAGTGAAGCAGTGTTAAGGACCTGCCTGCAGGGATATGTACAAACCATCCCTGAAAATAACAGGGCACTTTGCACTGGGCCAGTACAATACTTTTCACAGCTATGTCATTTCCCTTCTAAGTTCTCAAATTTGCCTTGGCAAATTTATTTACTATCACAGCCTGAAGGGCAAAACAATTTGCTATAGATATGGCATGCTCTTTGTTTTTATAAATACAAAACCTTCCTGGCAGAACTACATGTGTATGCATCCAGAGAACATGAAATCATTGCACATGTACTATACATACATTGTGAATTTTCCAAAACACATCTCATTTACTATGCATTTCTTGTGAATACGGCATGGACAAGTCCTGTGTTCCTGGAATTCACGCAGCCTAGGAAAATATCCAGTTATGCCTGGCTTAGGTGGAAGAAATGTCTTAAGAGAAGACTTTTGTAGTTGCTCAATCCCTATTGGAGTCAGCACTTGAGGTCCACAAAACAGGGCAGCTTTGTTGCATCTCTGTGGCCATTAAATGAGAGAAACCCAGAAAAATGTACTGGGATTTTGTCCTTTTTAACATCATGTAATATTTTGAAGTTTCTTTAAATTTTCTTGAAGGAGATAAAGGTACGTTTTAAAATTATTATGGTGAAGGTTGTTTTAAAACTTTGCAAGAGGAGAACTAAGACTTCATGTAAAGGGGAATATTTCAGTTTCAAGTATAAACTGAACTGTTGATCTGGGATTTGAAGAACCATTGAATTAATTAATTTTTGGTTATTAGCTCTAAGATTCAAAATGATAATTTTTCTTGCATTTCAGCCCCCTGTAGGTCCCTGAGATAGGGTGTGCTGAAGCTCATATCTGGGGGTCTCAGAGGGGTACACAGTGAAGAATGTGATCCTTGTCCCTAGCAATCGAGATAAATTCAACAGGCACAGAGTAGCCTTCTTATATTTTCATGGTCTCTCAAAGTCAAGTCTGAGCAACTTCAAAGAGGCTAAAATATGAAAGTGGGAGAGGAAGAAAAAATAGAAGAGGGAATTAGCCAGGATTAGTGAGAAATTTTTATTAGATCAAAAATGTTTTTATAACATGAAGCTTGGAGCAAAAATACTGTTTTATTCTTTGTCTTTCCATCCGCTTTCCTCTTTCAAAACACTGTCCTTACTATTAGTTCCAGTCTTCTACTGGGTCTGCCCGCTTGATGGCAGCATGTGAACACAGAACCGTTTGACTCTCCTCAAACCGCTCCCTTCGCGTTTCACACTGGAAAGTTTGTAACCCGCTCCTGCTGACTGGTTATGGGAAAATGGCAAAAACGCAGAACCAGAACATGCCCGTAGTCCTTCGCCTCTAGGTAACCACTGCTTCTGACATGGTGAGCTACAGCAAAACCACATCTGCATCAGCAGATGAAAGACAGCAGTGTTTCCCCAGAGAGAATTGCTGTTCTCCTTTGGAATTAAACTGAAAGTAGAATTTGGCCGTCCTTCTAACTTGTCCATGGCTTTT